TCAACAAACCATTTTTTCCCCTATTCATTTATTTATAACAAACCATCAGCCAAAAATAAGGAGGGGTTTTTTTGTTATTAAATTGGAACTGGGAGAGTTATCGACAGCTTTACCAGCGGACGGTTGCTGCTGGCATTTGTTACCATTCGGCTACTTCCCAAGTGCCTTCGCCTCCCGCAGAACGCGAATACGGAAGAGGTTTTGAAAAATTTGATTTTTGGCACTAAAAAAAATTGCATTTTAGTGAGAAAAGACGAGAAAAGATCGAAAATGATCGTGCGCGGAAGCAGAAAACGAAATGGTTGGTATCAACTTTGCAGGGTCAAGAAAGTGAATATAAGAAAAACGCTTATATGAAGCACAGGTTATGATGGAACTGTGTTCTTGTTTCTTTGTTTTTTGGAAAATAATCTGTTAATGTGTCTTGTAATTTATCATTGGAATTTTTTTACTGAGGCCATAATTAACCAGTGATATATGCTCGAGATTACCGGCGGGAGAAGTGAGGTAAAAGTAAGTCCTTGAGAGGAGAAAGGAAGGATAGCGCTTTTCTCCGGTTATGCATTCGACAGCTTTTGCAATTGCTTTAATTAATGTTGCATCATCGCTTGTCTTATCAACTTATCGGTGATTTTCCGGATTTTGTTTGTCAGCTTAGCATTACCAACTTTTGACCATCCGGCTAAGAGGAGGTTTCAATTGTTTCAGTAGAAATCTTTGGTCTGTATGTTGAGCATCATCACCTCATCACTGAGAGTTACTTTACTGTCTTAGGATTGAGCTTTAGAAATGCATCCAGCTTCCAGGAGCAAGTTTTTTTTTACTTTCCAAAAAGATGAAATTTTTAGCTAGCTGGTGTTTTTTTGTTTGTGGAATTTTTGGCCAGAAATCACATTATCAGATGCTTTTCGAAAATCCACTGATAAATTGTTACTTTGGTCGAAAGTTATATTAATGTTTATTCAGTTACACCAATGTTTGCGCCTTTTTTTTTTGGGTCCTGTTTGGAGTGTGATAAAAAAGTGAACATTGCAGTTTTTTTTTTTTTTTTTTTAAATCTCATTTTTCGGCAAAACCATACGCAGAGGCTGGAAATTTCGAGAACAATGCGAGATAGAGCTAAAAGACACTTTTAAATCAGTTGTTCGGAAGCAAAAAAACTGCACTGAAAAGCATACAAGCAAATGGCTTGCTGAAAGCTTAGCGTGTGACCTCAAAAAAAGACGCGGGTCCCGCGAGCTGGGAAAAGTCACTGGCAAAGCACACCAGGCGGGCCCATACGTTTTTGCAGTATTTCGTGCTGCAATAAGATCGCTTGGAATCCCAGTAGCTATTTGAATTTGCCAAACTGAGCAAGCCGGGCTGCATCATCCAGGCCTCGGATCAAACAACGGAGTGGCCGGGGAGAGGGGTAAACTACTGGTAAATGTGCCCACAGAGCGATTCAGCCGGGTTCCTCACAAATGCTGGATTGGCGGTGTGCCAGGTTGCGTGGCTTGGTTGTTGTGGTGGAGATAAAGGATCTACGCCATTTAGTCCTTATTTCCACCTACCCTAGCCCCCTCCCTCGCCTCGAACGAAACCCGATACATGCCAACCCCCACTTCCATCTCCCGCATTCAAACTGCCGCCATCCGCCCTGGGACACTCCTACCTGCTGTTGGCAGAAAAAATTTTTTGCGGCTTGTGTATGAGACGAGCCGAGCCGAGTTATTGTAACTGCTGATGTTTCTGGACGTTTTGAGGTTTTCGGTTTGATGTGTCTGTGACGGTTGCGGACTGTTCCATCTGGAGAGTGCGGGTCACGGGGAGAGGGGGGAAGTAGGGGAGTGTGATCATGCTGGGGGGAGGGGGAGGTGGCATTCAAGGACAAGTTTTGTGGGACTCAGCGCTGGCTTTTTTCTTATTAACACGTGGCCTAACACGCGCAGTGGAAAGTGGTGAGGTACAGCACTTTCTTGTCCGATGGTGGTCAAAAGCACTCGGCACCATCACTTGTACCATGCAGATTGTAGCAACCAGGTTGACCGTGAAAACTTAAAAATGGCGAAGGCGCGACAGATTACAGCAGCACGAGAGAAAGGAAAATAAGAGCGAGATAAGACGTTTCGGTCCATTAAGTCATGTATGCCTTAACTCAACACCGCTGCCCCACAGTTCGTCCACTTGTTCGTTTTGACGCTTAAACTGCTGCTGGTATATGCTAGAGGAGTCAAACCAGCTTGCTTGTAAGAAACTTTTGGAAGATTTGGCCATAATCGATAGCTTTTCCAGCGGATGGTTGTGCTGTTGGCAGTTGGTACTGTTTGGACAACTTCCGTTTGCCCTTTCGCTTCTCGGAGTGAGTGAAAAAGTGCTTTTTTTAGGAAGGGTTTTGAACGAGGCGACAGAAGGGGAGGGGGGGGGGAGGGTTGTTTTTTAACTTAATAATTGTTTGTGGCCATCAGAAGACCGAATCGTAATCTTAAAACAATTGCACGGTCCGTACAGCCAAAAATATTGATTAATCCGAATCAGTGCGAAAAGGTGAAGGAGGTCAGAATGAGGTAGAATAGTCTAGAATTTCAGGGCGGTGTATTTTGAGGCTAAAGCGGATCTGCCTCTGTGCGCATCGATTTTTCCCTCGTTTTTCAAATGCCACGTGATGGTGGTTCTGTCATCC